AAAGTGGAATGGTGTTGGAACACCGAACATCAGGAGGCTTTTGACGGGGTCAAAAACAGTCCTCTGCAAGCACCAATATTGGCGCTGACAGACCCCGATCGTCCATTCAGCGTCGTCTGTGACGCTTCGGACTTTGCCATCGGCTGTGCACTGCTGTAACCAGACGCCGAGGGGTGAGATCGGGTGATCGCGCTCGAATCTCGACAGCTCAAAGCTGCAGAGAAGAACTACCCAGTTCGTGACAAGGAGCTGATTGGACGAGCTATGCACTTGTCAAGTTCAGGGTCCACCTGCTCGGCTCCAAGCCGTTTGTGATCTGCAGTCGCCCCACCTCTCGCAGAGGATGGCTAGATGGCTATCCTTCTTTGCAAAAAATAACTTCGAGATGAAGTATAAGCCTGGAAAGCAGAATGCTTTGGCTGACACATTTTCACGCAGACCAGACTATGAGCTTGCTCATGTTACAAATATAACGTCGTCTGTGACAGATTTGATCCGCACCGCGTATGCGGGTGATGAGATGTGTGTAGCGTTGCTACGGGCTCTAGAGAGCAAGAAGTTTGGAGACTGACAAGAAATTGTCACAAAGATTGCGTGCACAAATGCACCGATATTCGTTGAATAACGGTTTGCTATAGTATAGCACGGATTTAGCGGATACACCACGAGTTGTGGTTCCTCATGACGAGGATTTGAAATACCACATTCCCTATGAGGCTCACGACACGTCACTCAGTGGTCATCTCGGTCGTGAAAAAACGTACAACTCTGTGAATCACCACTATTGGTGGCCCAAGTTGTACAAATGGACGAGCACCTATGTGCGCACGTGTGAGACGTGTCAACGGGTAAAACTCTCTCCAAACGGGCTGCGCCGCTGGCCAGCTTACCGGTACTCACTGGGTACTGGCGGTCCATGTGTTTGAACTTTGTGTTTGGCCTGCCGAAAGATTTGGCGGGCTAAACGGGTGTCGTGGTACTCGTCGACCGATTGAGCAAGATGGCTCATTTGGCGGCGATGCCAGACACCATCGACGGAATCCATACATCAACGCTGTTTGTTGATCGTGTTTTTTGACAACACAGACTCCCTGAGTCGAATGTCTCTGATAAAGACCTCGTTTCACGGGAGAATTTTGGTCGACTATCTTTAAGGTGCTCGGCACCTAGTTAGATATGTCGACAGCGGATCATTCGCAGACCGGTGGTCAAACCGAAAGGGTAAATTGCGTCATCGAAGACGTTCTTCGCAGCGTCTGCGCTGAGACGCCGAGGCGCTGGA